GTGTGTGTGTGTGTGTGGTCGGTCACACATAGGTTTGTTACCACGTGCCTTTCCCTACCAGCTCATGGCTGCCTAGATGGGAGAATTGCTTAATGTTGACAGGACTCTTCCTCTCCACCCATTTATTTTAAAATTACATTTGTATGTGTGTGCACATGCGAGCATGTGCATGTTGGGGGTTGTGTGCCTTCCTGTAGATGTCAGAATAATTGGTAGAAGTCAGTAATTATCTCTGTGGGTCCCAGAATTGAGCTCAGGTCGTCAGTCTTGGTAGTAAGCATCTTATCCACTGAGCCTTCTTGATAACCCTGTGTCCTTTTTATTGGTGGTGTTGATGGTGTTTGTTGTGTTTTTGAGTCTCAGGTAGCACAGGCTAGCCTGGAACTGACCTTGTAACTGAGGTTGACCTTAAATTTGTGATCCTCCTGTCCTACCTCCCTATTTAATCCCAAGTGTTGGGGTTACAGGCAGACACCTCCTTGCCTTGTTCCCCTGTGAAACGTCAAAGAGCTTGTTGGGGTTCCATTCCCTCCCAGCCTGACGGAACTGCTCTTTCCTGAAGGGCCCAGCCATCGCACTGTGACTCCAGAGGCCCTAACTTTTTGTGTCTGGGGTGGGGCTTGTATGTGTGCTGGCGTCTGTCCTGAGGCCTCCTTTCCCTCCAGAAGCAGGCCCTGACCTACGTGTGCTAGATGTTGCTAACTCAGGCCTCTTTGCTTTTTTTATCCTTGCAGTTAAAGGCAGGCACTTTTGGGGATAAGGAAACACACACTTGCATGCAGCCCATGCACAGAGAAAAAGACCCTCTGCAGAGCAGGGGGGTGGGACTCAAAAAGCCAGAAACCCAGCCTCTTTGCTTCTTATCTCATAATTTGACACTTGGCTGTAATCAGCTGTGTCCTGATGAGCAGCCAGCCTTGCCAGGGAGCGCTCACTCTGCTGTCTCTGTCCAGAGCCCATCCAGTCCCGGTGTGCAGTGCTCCGCTACACGAAGCTCACTGATGCTCAAGTCCTCACCAGGCTCATGAATGTCATCGAGAAGGAAAAAGTGCCATACACAGATGATGGCCTGGAAGCCATTATCTTCACAGCCCAAGGGGACATGCGCCAGGTTGGTGGGTGACTGTTGCTGCCTGTGTTAGTTTGGGTTTCTAACACGGTGATGAAACACCGTGATCAAAAAACACGTTGGGGAGAAATGGGTTTCTTTGGTTTACACTTCCACATTGCTGTTCATCACTGAAGGAAGTCAGGACAGGAACTCAAGCAGGGCAGGAACCTGGAGACAGGAGCTGATGCAGAGGCCGTAGAGGGGTGCTGCTTACCGGCTTGCTCAGCCTGTTTTCTTGTTATTTATTTATTTATTTGCTTATTTATTTATTATGTACACAGAAGAGGGTACCAGATCTCATTATAGATGGTTGTGAGCCACCATATGGATGCTGGGAATTGAACTCAGGACCTCTGGAAGAACAGTTGGTGCTCTTAACCTCTGAGCCATCTCTCCAGCCCCGCTCAGCCTGTTTTCTTATAGTACCCAGGACCACTAGTCCAGGGATGGCACCACCCAGCATGGGCTGGGCCCTCCCACATCAAATACTAATTAAGAAAATGCCTTACAGCCAGATCTTATGGAGGATCTCAATTGAAGTTCCCTCTTTTCAGATAACTCTAGTTTGTATGTCAAGTCGACCTAAGACCAGCCAGCACACTGCCCTACAAGTCGAGGTTGGGGAATGAGTGTTGAACCAAGTCTGGGTAAAGACTGAGGATCTAGCACCCTGCGTGGGTGTGAGCTGGGGAAGGTGGCATCGAGTCTCCGAGGCAGGATAGGGAAAGACATCATAGTCACCCTTAACATGTCTCTTGCCTCCCTCCAGGCCCTGAACAACTTGCAGTCCACCTTCTCAGGATTCGGCTATATCAACAGCGAGAACGTCTTCAAGGTTCCAGGGCTGGGAGAGGTTGGGAGGGCTGGTCTGCAACAGAGTGGGCCTACATAGCCAGTGGTCTCCCTGTCATAGCTTTGTCTCGTGCCCAGGAGACCAGCGGGCGGGGGATGCGCAGATCCAGGTTAGCCGGCAGCGGTCTTGCCCGATCCCACCCCACCTCCCTGCAGAGCTGTTCTTCCCTCACCTGTGCTGTGGGCCGCTCTGACGGCTGCCAAAGTCACTGTCCATCCGCCCTAGGCCGCCACTCTTTTCTTCTCTTGACATAGTGTAGCCCAGCCTGGCCTTGAATCTGAGATCCTCCAGGTTTTTTAGGGTTTTTTTGTTTGTTTGTTTTTGGGTTTTTTCGAGACAGGGTTTCTCTGTGTAGCTTTGCGTCTTTCCTGGATCTCGCTCTGTAGACCAGGCTGGCCTCGAACTCACAGAGATCCACCTGGCTCTGCC